CTGGGCTCAGGTGATCCTCCTGCCTCAGCCTCCCGAGTAGCTGGGACTACAGGCGCCGCCACTACGCCTGGCTAATTTTTTTTCTTTTTGGTAGAGACGGGGTCTTGCTCTTGCTCAGGCTGGTTTCAAACTCCTAAGCTCAAGTGATCCTCCTGCCTTGGCCTCCCAGAGTGCTGGGATCACAGGCGTGAGCCACTGCACCCGGCCAAGCTGAAACCTGAAGCTCTTTATTACTTAGGAGCCACCAGAGCCCTGCATTAGCTCCACGGTTGGGCCATTGGCATCACCCAGGGCTACAGGTCCCGTATGGCTGTGGCACTGCCCTCCCGGTCTTGGCTGTTCTAAGTAAGAGGATGTCAAAAGCTGTCTCAGAAGCTCTACCCAAGGGGAGGCTCCCCACGCTGGACTCGACACTCTGCCCTGACACCCTGCGGGCCCTGCCGACCAGCTGTCAGGCCGCTGGCCTCTGTCTTTCTGAGGGAGCAGCCGGGGCTGCCCAGGAAGCTCCCTGGGGTCCGGGATGCCCCAGTGGTGGCACTCTGGGGTCAGCCAGCCGAGCGGGGATGGGCAGTGGCGGCTGCTTGAGCTGGGGCAGGGTGGGCACAGGGGAGTCGTCCGTGAGCAGCAGCCTTGAGCCCGGCGATTCCACCCCTTATTTTTTGTTTGTCTTTATTTTAACAAGGAAAATGCAAAAAGCGAGGCGACGGCTTGAAGATGGAGAACGACCCCCAGGAGGTGAGCCACACCCCTGTGCTGCCCACAGCTCCCCCAGCCGCCTGCCGCAAGTCAGCGCCACCGCCTTTGCTTCACTCGGCAGACGTCCCCTTGGGCTGACCCCGGTTTGAGTTTGGCCTCAGAGGCGTTTGCGTGAACTGGCCAAACGTGATGCCTGCGTCACAGCGCCGCAAGCCCTCCGAGCACAGGGCACGTCTCAGAGCCGGGGCCCGCGGCCTGTGGGCCCGCGGCCTGTGGTGCGAGCGCGTCTCCCTCCTCGGAGCCGCGCTGGGGCCGGCGGAGCTGCCAACGCCCTCCAGTCAGGAAAGGGTCTGCACGTCCCAGAGTGTCAGCTGTGTCCTCCCATCCCTGTTTAGGGTGCCACTTCCTGTCCCTTCAGGGCAGGGGGCTAAGTGACCGCATCCCGCCCCTCCGCTGGCGTGGGTCTCCTGACGTGGCCCGCAGCACCGCAGCCACCGGTTTCTGGCTCTGGGAGGCTCTGGAAGGCACATCTGACCGAGGGTGGCCGACCGCCAGCACCGCTTCTCTGTTCCTGAGTGGCGGTTTGGCAGGTCATGAGCCCTGGGGACGGTGCTGCCGGGGGTTAGTGACTCCCCAGGGCAGGTGGCTTGTCCAGGGCCGCCAACAGCAGGGTGGTGTTTCCTGTCGGACCCTTTCAGGCAAACTTCCGACCGCCGTGCTCAGTAGTTAGGGTTTTAATGTCTCTTCAGCGTGTTTTTTTCCAAATAAAAACAGCTCTGTTTCCTTTTCAGATTAGAAAGTCCTGTTGGGCTGTTTCCAGGTGACTGTGGCCCACATGGGTGGAACCTGGCCCGGAACAGCCTCACACCTACCTGTTCCCTCCCGTCTCCAGGCGGAGTCCGAAATGGCGCTGGATGCTGAGTTCCTGGACGTGTACAAGAACTGTAACGGGGTGGTCATGATGTTCGACATCACCAAGCAGTGGTAAGGCCGGGTGCTGGCTGGCAGCGGCTGCCCATGACTCTCAGCCCCCCTCTCTGTCCGCCAGTTAACAGAGCGGCGTCACTCTGGGCATGCTGAGTGCCTGTTGGCATGTGCGAGTGCCACCTGGCCTAGATGTCCCTGGGCATTTGGGCTGTGGGGAGAGGGCGCGTGGTCACGTCCGTGCGAGGAGGGCGAGGTGGGCTGGACAGGCTCAGGCCAGTTGCAGAGGGCGGCCTGAGGTGAGGCGCACACGTCTGCAGTCCTTCCGGAAGTGCCACCTAAGACTTGGCCGTCCGGTGGCCACTTGAACTGGTGGCTTCCCAAGACCCCCACCTTCGGTGACTCGCCAGGAGGAGCCTGAGCTCAGGCCGATCACAGCCCAACAGCAAAGGGAAGAGGTGTGCCAGACGACGTCTGGGGAGCCTGGGCGTGAGCTCCCCAAGTCCTCTCCACGTAGAGTCACGTGTGAGACGTCAGCAGGAAACGCCAGAGCCTTAGTGCCGGCATACTGCCAACACACGGGAGCTCCGGGCTCTGGGAGGAAGGCGTCCCCACGGGGACCAGCAGTCCGGGAGCATGGGCCCCTCCTACCAGGGGCCCTGGGAACAGCAGGAGCAGCAAGTTCCCTGACACGCGGGCACCTGTCTTTGGGAGCGTTGGGATCTTGCTCCACAGAAGCTTCTTTCACTTCACAACACACCCACACCACCGCTAGGCACGTCGGCCCGCCACGGGGCCGCGAACTAACCTGGGGCCAGAGCTCACACTTGGCACACGCCAGCCACACAGGCCTGAGGAAGTAGGCCTGCCGCTCCCTGCTGGCCATGGCCCAGCCAGCACCACCTCTGCCAGCCTTTGCCCACGTGCCTTCACCCCCCCCTCCCAGCCTGCGATGCCAAGGCTGACCCCTGGCACACGCGGAAGAGGCCTCCGGGTGGCCATGAGCATACGCGCCAGAAAACCATGCCCAGGGCAGGCACCGTCCCCTGGCCGCGAGCTCCAGCCCAGCAGGGCACCAGGAGCCACATGCCAAGTGAGGGGCAGTGCTCCACTCCCTCAGGTGCAGGACTGGGAGGACATTTTCTCCTGTCCTGGTGGCGGTGGTCCACTGCCCTGCTGAGCGGGAAGTGGCTTTTCCCACATCCAGTCAAGTCTGGACACCGAGTGGCCATGTGGGCTCCACCAAAGTGTCCTGTACGTAGCCTTTGCCAGACGAGCTCCGTGACGCCTCCCACAGCCACCAAGGGAGCAGAGCGCTGGGGGACAGCAACCGCGTGGGCACTTGGGACAGTTGGCTGCCACCCGGGCTGAGGCGTGAGGAGTGGACAGGAGGGACAGGTGGACACGAGCCAGCCGGGCAAGAAGTGGCGCAGATGCTTGCGCAAGGGCTGGGAGACCCCGTCGGCAGGGAGTGCTCAGCGGGCACCCGGCGCGGACACTGCTGAGCCCTTAAACCGCACGTCAGCTCAGCTGGTGCCTGGGCCGAGCATGGAGGACAGAACACGACCGGCCGGGATGGTGGCTCTCGGCGCCCTGTGGGCTGGCGCACACGCCCCCAGCACACCTCAAGGCGCATTCTGAGCCACGAGAGGCAGGACGTGCCCAAGGACAGAGGCCGCGGGAGGCTGCAGGCGGCCACAGGCCTGGCCTTTGTTAGTGATAGTTGACGTTACTGTGTGCGGAGTAAACTCAGGAACATTAGCGCACACATCTTCCACTCGTTCGTATTGGTTTTCTCTCGTGAGGAGGTTTTGTTACACTTGTAACGCTGGTTATTCCTCTCTCTGCACACCATTCGGAAAACGATTTGGGATGACCCGCGAGGCCACGCAACTGGCAGCTCCACGGCAGGCACAGGCCTGGAGAGGCCGCCGAACCTTCCTGGCGGTGACCGCTGAAGAGCAAAGCCCTGAAGACAACTCGGCTGTCAGGAGCCACGTGCCAGGAGTGGGGCCACGCACGGGGAGCAGGATGCAGGGCGGTGCAGGATGAGGGCAGACCCAGGCAGACCGGGGCCGGGTCGTGGGGACGTGGTGTCTGGGACGGGGCTGGCGGGGCCTGCAGGCCGGGAGAGGGCTCAGCGCCCCCTGCACTTCATTCCTTCAACTCTGCACACATGTGACTCGCTCTCTTGCAAGCAGGATCTTAGAAATGACAGGCAGCCACGGCCCTCGGCGCAGGCCCACACCAGCTACCTGGGAGGGCCTGGCGTCCCTGGGCTGAAACTGAGGCGGGTCTCCTCCCCGCTCTCCAAAGGACCTTCAACTACATCCTCCGGGAGCTGCCAAAAGTGCCGACCCACGTGCCGGTGTGCGTGCTGGGGAACTACCGGGACATGGGCGAGCACCGGGTCATCCTGCCGGACGACGTGCGCAACTTCATCGACAGCCTGGACAGGTGGGTGCTGGCGGCCCTGCTGCCCCTCAGTGCGCTCAGGCAGTGCCAGGGAGGGACACTGAGGCAGCCACGGTGCTCACTCCCTCTCTGAGGCCAGTCCCGGCCCTGGGGGTGGGGTTGAGCCTCTCAGGATGGGGGTGGGAGGGGGCCGGGCCAGGATGGGTGGGGGGAAGGGGCAAACAGGCCCTGGGCAGAGGGGGACTCACTGGGCTCATAACACACTCGGGTCAAAGCAGAAGGCTGGTGCGTGGGAGGCCTGAGCTCGGGCACGGTGGGGTCACCTGCAGGCGACTCGAGCTCAGCCCCTGAGCAGGGCTCAGCAGGGTCCCGTTCCCGCAGGAGCCTCCTGCAGTTGGGAGGCCAGCATGGATGGGGGCCTCAGGCCCAGGTATGGTCTTGGCACAGGAGGGGCCAGGCCACACCCCCCACCAAGGGTCCGTCTGCTTTTTTGAAAATAGACCTCCAGGTGCCTCCTATTTCCGCTATGCTGAGTCTTCCATGAAGAACAGCTTCGGCCTGAAGTACCTTCATAAGTTCTTCAATATTCCATTTTTGCAGCTTCAGGTAAGTCCTCACCACACAGGGTGGAGTGGGCAGCGCTCACGTCTCACCCGTTTCTCCAGGTGCCTCTTGCATGGGGATGTGGCCTCCATCCCAGGCCCTCAGAAAGCTGTGTGTGGGCTTGGAGGCTGGGCCGGCCAGAGCAGAGAGGCCTGCCTAGGCCCCGCCCCCTCTGCTGGGCAGCAGAGCGGACAGTTGGGATGTGGCGCCTTTTCCACTCACAGACCCTGAGCTCCAGGTGGCTGCCGGGATGCTGGCTGGGTGCCAGCCCCTCCCCCACCCTTACCTGCCCCGTACGCACCTGTGTTCCTCGCCACCCCCCGTGTGGCCCTCTAGTGACCTCGTGCAGCCTTTTAGCTCTTTGTCAACATGTACCATCAACGTCCCCTGTCTCTCCTAGTCCCTAGGCACTCCTGCTTCTCGTAGTTTATTTGCTCTGTCCTATAAAGTCCCCCCAGCGTAGGTGCAGGGCAGCAGCCCGTGGCTGTGTCCAGCCAGCAGAGCCTCTGTGGTGGCAGAAAGGTACAGCCCTGCTGTCCCACAGGTGCCACTCCTGCCACTGTGGCTGCTGTGGCTGAGGGTCTGGAGTTGGCATTTCATATGACTTGGGTCTGAATGTGAGTGGCCACACAGCCCAGAGGCCCCATCAGATCAGTTCTGGTCTCAGGCCGCGCGTTCCTGCCCGTGAGGGGGTCGTGGCAGCCGGTGTGAGGCCAGCCCTGCCCAGGAGGCCTGCACTCGAGGGCCAGGGCAGGAAGGCCTTGTTCTCCAGAGGAGAATGTTGGGGCTCCTTAGCCTAGGGGGCAGATCGTGTGAATAGGAGGGGTGCTTTCTGTCCTGGTCTGCTCCTGTGACTGGCATCCCCCGAGCCACACTAGCAGCCGGGGTGTTGTACTGACCACCGGGATGAGATCGCCCAGGCCTCCAAGGTCTCTCCGTAGTGTTGCGCTTGGCAGCTGGCCCTGCTGCACCGAGTCCTGACCACCACATGTCACCACCACACTGAGCTGTGTGGGGTCCTCAGAGGGCAGAGAGGAGCCACTCATCACACAATGGCATCTGCTCAGGGCTGGCTACTCCCCTTCCTGCAGAGGGAGACGCTTCTGCGGCAGCTGGAGACCAACCAGCTGGACATGGACGCCACGCTGGAGGAGCTGTCAGTGCAGCAGGAAACCGAGGACCAGAACTACGGCATGTATGTGGCCCTCAGGGCCAGAGTCCCGTCCCCCCTGCCTAACCGGAGGCTGCCTGCCGGCACTCCAGCCCAAATGGAGGGTGGTGCCCTGCCGCGCTGCAGACGGCCATGGTGTGCACTGGGGACCAGTCAAGGGAGTGCCACACGTCTGGGGTACATGAGCTGTCTTCAGAGGGGTCACAGCTCGAACATGGTGGTCCTCAGAGAAGGGAGCACAGTCCCAGTCCCAGGGCTCGACTCTGCATCCTGTCAGCCCATAGTCTTTCCTATTCCTGTATTTTGGGGTTTTATCATAAATGCGCAATAGTGAACTATTTAGAGTAAAATAAGTACTCTCTAGATCAAATACATTACGGTTTTAATTGGAGCTAGGCTTACCTTGGGAGGCAGGACCCTGGCTGCTCCAGTGGCTGCTGGTTCCTGGGGACAGTGGAGGCAGACACTACCTGGGGATGGGCCGTCAGGGCCCAGGCATGTGGGGTGCTGCCCATGCCCCAGCACTTTGGGGCTCTTTGGTTGACCTGGCAGGACTCCCCAGGTGCTCCACAGCTGGCCGGCACGACAGTGTGGCCAGGCCACTGTTTGCGTGGACTCCCCAACTTGACTTGCCTCGTGCAGAATGAGCCACGCCTGCTGGTCCCTAGGTGTGTGGCACCCGCCACTGCTGACAGGGTGGCCAGACCGGCTGGTCCTGATGCATTCTGGCTGTGGCCACTTTCCCTGTTCGCGGGCTTGGTTTTACAGATTGGCACCAGTGTGGCATCAGGCTTTTGAGAGCTCCTCGACTCTGAAAGCCCCCTTGTGCTAGAGACACACAGGGCAGGACGTGGAACCTCCCTGTGCTGAGCAGAGGGTAGCTCAGCGTCTTCCTCGGTGTGCGTGGGCAGCACGGGCGGCCCTAGGGGCTGTCGGCTGGGTGCCTGTCCTGTCGCCCTCCGGCTCCTCAGGGGCACTTCCTCTCCAGGGAGGCTGCAGCCCTGAACCTGACTTGGAGGCCTGGGGGAGGAGCCAGAGAGGCTGTGTGCCCCAGGACCCACACAGGACCATCGCACCAGTAGCCAGGCTGGCCCCAAAGGGAGCCGGAGCCCAGGTGCTTCTCTGTGCACCGACCTGGTGTTTCCTGACGGAGCTGGGCAAGCAGCCCGGGACAGGGCAGGGGCCAGCAGCACAGTGACCTGGGCGGGTGTCCACCAAGCCCCACCCTCTCCTCGTCCCAGAAGCCTCCCTTTGCTGGGGCAGCGAGGCCCGCCCGTTACCACACGGCAGCATTCTGCATGGAGTCCCCGAGGGCTGTGCCTCAGGACAAGGAAACCTAGGAAATACATCTGGAGCGACTTTGCAGGGAGCCGGACGCCCCAGCTGGTCATCTGTCTCTGTCACACCTGTTGTTTCCTGCCCTTAGGACCCTCGTTCAGTGTTAGCAACAGCCAGGAGTTACTTTGCGTCCCACCAGGGTGTGCTGGGAACGCCCGGGGAGAGGCCGGGGCGCCCCACTTCTCACTCCCTGCCTTCCCCTCCAGCTTCCTCGAGATGATGGAGGCTCGAAGCCGTGGCCACACATCCCCGCCGGCGGCCAACGGGCAGAGCCCGTCCTCAGGCTCCCAGTCACCGGTCGTGCCTCTGAGCACCGTGTCCACAGGGAGCTCCAGCCCCAGCACACCCCAGCCCACGCCACAGCTGCCCGCCATCACCCCTGCAGCCTGCCCCGCCCCACCGGCCCCTGCGGCCCCCCTAGAGGCCCCTGCGCCGCCCCCAAGGCGCAGCATCATCTCCCGGCTGTTTGGGACCTCGCCTGCTGCCCCCACGGCACCTGCCCCTCCAGGTAGGCCCCAGGGCAGCCCCTCAAGGAGGTCCGTGCAGCGGCTCCCTGGCCACGGCTCCACACCATGGGCCCCTGTGCCCTGGGACTGCAGTGTGGCCCCAAGTCTCTGGAAAGCTCCCCTCTCCCACCTCCCGGGTGGGGCACAAGCCTCCCGCCCCAAGGTCCCAGTCCTGCCAGCACAGCCCTAGGGTGGCCCTGGCGTGGGGTTGGGGGTACCCTGAAGGGTCAAGTGCCAGCGCCTGCTGTTCACAGAGCCAGCCCCTGTGGCAGAGGCCCCCATAGAGGTCCGGAATGTGGAGGACTTTGTTCCTGACGACCGCCTCGACCGCAGCTTCCTGGAAGACACAGCCCCCTTGGAGGATGAGAAGGGAGCTGGAGCCAAGGCCCCGCGGCAGGACAGCGACAGGTCCGGGATGGGGCTGGTGGACCTCCTAGTGCAGGGCCTGGGCCCTTGCAAGCACCCTGGGAGTGTCCTTGGGCCAACTGCACGTGGGGGCGTTGGCAGGGCTGCTCTGGGCCCCCAGGAGGCCCAGCCGCTGTCTCCCAGTGGGCCAGGGTGGGCTGCACAGAGGAAGAGCCCGCAGGCCTCGATTCCTGACCCAGGGGCCAGAGCTGGGCCCTTCCCCTTGGGCTGCTGACCCCTCCCAGCACACTGTCCACGCACCCTCCCACTGGCAGAGCGGCAGCAGGCACCCCTGTCTGTCCAGCCTCACGCTGTCCCTGCTCTGCCCAGAAGCCCCGTGAGAGCGGAAGTAGGTCTCCCGCCAGGACCCGGCCCCCAGACAGCGCTGCCCCAAGGTCAGGGCATGTCGGATACCAGAGGTGCCCAGAGATGGGGTAGGGGCCCTGCCCCCAGACCCTACCTTGTGGCCTCTGACTGCCCTGCCCCTCCTTTGCAGTGACGGGGAGGCCATCGGAGGAAACCCCATGGTGGCAGGTTTCCAGGACGACGTGGACTTCGAAGACCAGCCTTGTGGCAGACGCCTGCTGGCCTCAGGCCCTGTCCCCAGTAAAAACGTCACACTGTCCAGCGAGGAGGAAGTGGAGGCGCCAGACCTCCCCGGCGTTGCTGCCCCGGCCCCCCAGCCGTCCTCAGAGCCAGAGACACAGCGGTACGGGCGGGGTCCTCAAGGGTGTGGCCAGGACACGCCTCAGGCACCTGATCCTTCTGCTTCTTCCTCAAGGTCCTCCGCAAAGGCCTCGAGGCCACAGAAGGGGGCAGCACCCCCAAAGGCCGAGGCACCCCCCTGGCCGGGAGGTCCCCCCGTGCGCACAGGTCCCGAGAAGCGCAGCAGCGCCAGGCCCCCCGCCGAGGGCTCCTTGCGCAGGCCGGAGGAAGGCAAGGCCCAGCAGGCGTCCTCGTCAGAGAGTGACCCCGAGGGGCCCATCGCCGCACAGATGCTGTCCTTTGTCCTGGATGACCCCGACTTTGAGAGCGAAGAGTCAGACACACAGCGGAGGGGGGTGAGCACGCCACTGACCAGGAGGGTGAGGGGCTCCCAGGCGGGGTCTGCGGGTAGGCTGGGGAGTGGACAGGAAGCTGGTGGGAGCAGTGTCCCGTGTCACCACTCTCAGGCCTAACTGGACACTGACTTCTGGGTTGGGTTTGGGGGTCCCACAGCATCAGGGCCCCATGGGGGTGGGAGTGATGGCGGCCTGACCAGCCACTCCCTCTCCAGGATGAGTTCCCCGTGCGAGACGACCTCTCCGACACGACCGAGGACGAGGGCCCTGCCCAGCCACCCCCGCCCCCCAAGCCCTCCGCCCTCACCTTCAGGCCGAAGAACGAGGCGGATCTCTTTGGGCTGGAGCTGGAGGCCGTCCCCAAGGACAGCAGCGAAGAGGGTGGGTGGGTGCCAGGGGCATGCCCACCTTCTGGAGCCTAAGTGGGACTTTGGCCCTTGGTCCTTGTCCTATGGCAGCCCAGGGACCTGCCTTCAGAAAAGAAAGCCCAGTCCGGAGGCCTTTTCCCATCTGCTGACCATGGGCGTCTGGAGGCAGAGGGGCTGTGTCGGGCTTCCTGGCTTTGCCCAGGTCCTAGGTGGCCCCGTGTCTAGCTCTGCCCGATGTCTACAGCGTGGCTCAAGGCCCCTCCTGGAGGGCCAGGGCTGACTGGCCTGTGAGTTTCTGGACCAGTCCTATTATTATTTGGGTCCCCTGTGCGCCCAAGAGTTTGAGCTGCCGAATCCCAGGTGCCTGTGTCAGCTGCACCACAAACCCCAGGCTGGTGGGGGGCTGACCTGGTGTCCACACAGGAGGCATTTCGTGGCCTGGGCAGTGCTCTGCAGCTGACTGGGAGCTCATTTTACTCTAAGTGCAGCCCTCTTGTGCAGTCTGGCGTGGCCTGCAGCTGCAGCCACGCACTGCGGTGGCTCCGTGCCCCAGCCAGCCTGGCCCTGTCCAGCAGCTTAACCAGAGATTCATCGCAGAAGTTTCTCATCAGAGAGGCAGGTTGCAGTGGGAGTGCATTTGTACACAGCGCATTGTCACCACCATTTCGGGTGCCCCAGCCACCTGTGCAGTGCAGAGCTGTGGCCAGGGCCAGCTGGACCCACCCTGTCCCCCGCCCAACACTAGGCAGGTGGGAGGGGACGGTGGCCTAGAGGTAGGGCCCCTGCCCCAAGACGGGGTGACATGCTGGCCAGCTTCACACCGCGTCCTGCCTCCCATACCAGGGGGCGGGCAGGCCCCTCGCCTGAGGCTGCGCAGGGCACTGAAGTGCATCTCACCTGTGCAGGTAAGGAAGGCAGACCGCCCTCCAAGGAGAAAAAGAAGGAGAAGAAGAAGAAGAAAGGCAAGGAGGTACGTGTCCCCCTCGGGCTGGCGGGGCCTGGGTGAGGGCCCTGGTCCCCGCCTCTGGGTGATGCCCCTCCCGTGCCCCAGGAGGAAGAAAAGGCTGGAAGGAAGAAGAGCAGACACAAGAGGAACAAGGACGAGGACAAGGACAAGGAGGAGCGGCGGCGGAGGCGGAAGCCCCCCCGCAGCAGGGAGAAGAAGGCCGAGGATGAGCTGGAGGCCTTCTTGGGCGGCCACCACCCTGGGGGTGGGGACTATGAGGCACTCTAGGCCTTCGGCCACCCTGTGCTCGCTGCCGCCTCGGGGAGGCCTGTGCCCGGCAGCCTTTGCGGTCAGCGGCCCCTGGACTGGGCGCTGCAGGTGCTGGGCTTCCAGGCCCAGCATGAGCCTGCCCTGCAGGGAGGGAGGGGACAGCTGAGCTCAGCCGGGCACAGAGGACGACTGGCCCTCTTGGGGCAGAGCCACAGCCAGTCCCCAGCATTTCTCAGGGAATTGACTGAGGCGGAGGAGGGACCCACCAGGGTCTGTTTACAGAGGCAGGACCCGGGACCACTTGGCTTCTCGGCCACCCACCACCTAGCGCCCGCTGCTGCTTGCCCTCCTGCACTCACCCAGGCCTCAGCATGCCGGCAGCCCGCTTCCAGCCACAGGGCTTGGGCTGCAGACAGCCCACGGCTGGCCCTGAGCACAGGTGTGCAGCCTTGCGGGAGGGTGAGGCGGGCAAGACAGTGTCGCCAGAGGTCTCCTGGGGGGAGTGCCTCCAGGGACAGTCTTCCCGCTGTGGCCCCAGTGCGCCGCTGCTCAGGTGAGCCCACAGGCAGGAGCTGGGAGGCTGCTCAGACACTCCACCCGGACCATAAAGCTCTCCTGTTTCACTGCTGCGTGTGTGTGTTCATCTCCCTGCGCCTGCTCCGGAGCCACCTGCAGGGCACGAGCCCGCAGCCCCCTTTGCCCAGGTTGCAGTGGGTTGGCAGGAAAGCCCTTTTTCCCAAGGCGCAGTTGCCTCTGGGACAGGAGGTGGCCCGACAGCGCTGGCCCAGATGGCAGAGGAGGATGCTACCCCAGGTTCCACAGCTCAGCCAACACCCAGACCGCTGCGCCCATGTCAGATGCTGCCCAGGGTGGATCAGCATGGCCACACCTGGAAGCCCCCAGCCCACCTAGCCAGGGCCAGGCAGCTGCACCCAAAACACCGGGGGGCCCCAGCCCGTTGACGCACCTGTCTGCACTCTACAGGGCCTCCAGCCTCCTGGGCAGCCGCCAGCAGCGCCCAGCTCCACCACCCCCACAGCCACTGTCGCCATGAGAATGGGAGGGGCGGGTGTTGCTGGACCCCCTGCCCTGGGCAGGGGCCAAGGGTTGGACCCACCCCTCCCACCTAGGTCTCCCCTCAGGTTCCTTTGTGGGGGAGCTCTGTGCCCCTGGGCTGCCACGGCTCTGAGCAGGTACTGGGGGCCAAACCCTTCAGTCCATAGCCAGTGCAGCCAGGGCTGTCTTTTGGGGTCCCCTCATGTGGGGTGGGTCAACATTAGTGAACTTGCCCAGGACCACACAGGGAGCAACAGCGTCAGGGTCGCAAGGGACCCTGCATTGAATAGGATGCAGAACAGGGCAGGTCTCACCCTCATCTGTGACAACCCGCCCCTCTGCCAAGCTGGGTTGTGCCCCAGCACCTTGGGGAGGGGGCTGGCGGGGTTGGAGCGAGGATGTCTGGGCAGGTTAGGAGTGGGCCATGTGACAGCCCATGCTGGCTTCACCCAGGAGGGGCTGGCTTCCTGGAGACACAGGAGTCTGCAGGCCCCACTTGGGCCATCTGGCCCCAGGTACCTGACGCGATTTTGGCAGCTCTGGCACTGAAGTGGACAGGGCCTGGGGAGCGGCCAGTGGGGCAGGGAGTAGCCCATCTGCTCCTACCTGAGCCCAGCGGGGGCTGTGAATTCCAAGAGCCTCCCTCCCCGCTCCGAAGCCGGCGAAGCCCAGGCCGGCGCTCCGCTCCTTCAGGGCCTTGCTCTGAGGCCCTGCCAGGCTGCAAGCTGCTCAGGCAGGTGTCCTGGGGGCTGGGTTGGGGGACTAGCAGGCTGCTCCTGGGGCACGAGTCCCCTGCTTACACCCTGAGATCTGTGCCGGGGATGCTGCAGGGACCCCGCATTCTGCACAGCACCAAGTCGGAGCCAGTGCGGACCACGATATCCGGGCCCCACTACAGCCCCATCGCGAGCGGCCCCTTTAAGTGTGGCTCCCCTGGCTGCCACTGGGGGCAGCACTGAGCGGCCAGGCCGGCGCAGCTGCCTCGAAGCTTCTGCCGGTGCCGGGGACGCAGCGGCGCTGGGGACACAAGAGCAGGCGTGGGGGTGGCACAGCCCACCCGGTCACAGTCGGCAGAGCAGCACCCAGGTAAGGGGTGGGGGCAGAGCTGCCCAGCGTGTCGCTCTCATGGGCGGGGGCTGCCTTAGGGTCGTCCGCAAGGATGGGGAGTCCCCGCCCCCAGGCGGAGCATTGGGTCCCTGGAAGGGCCGCTCCAGGCCGGGCTGGGGGAGGGTCGCCCCCCCCACCGGCCATCCACGTGGGTTCCGGAAGGCCTAGGACCCCGGAGGAGGCCGACCCCACCCTCACCCCCAGGGGGAAGGGATGTCACTGACAGCAAGGCCGCTGTCACCTCCCTGGGGTGGAGCCTCACACCCTGTCATCCGGAGGCTCCGGCCTGGCCTTGAGCTTAGGATGGAAGGAGCAGGAGGTTGGATGGTCCTGCCAGGGGGGGAGAGACTTGGGTGGGGCTGAGCCAGGGGTGGGGACAAGTACGAGGACTTAGTGGCCTGACCCAGAAAAGCAACCGTGCAGGAAGCCCGTTGTACACCTGGGACATAGAGGGTTGACCCATCCAGACCCGGAGAGGGCCATCCACTAGGGGTCCTGCCAGGTGAGGGGCCTGGCCAGCCCCCATCTTGCCCCCAGCTCACCTTAGGGCAGACTCCCGCAGACCAGGTGCTGGGGCAACAAGGCTGGGGCCCGTTGCCACCACCCACCTCCCCAGCCAGCAGGACCCAGACCCTGGGGACCACGGAGGTGCCAATGGTCCACATCTGAACCCTGGCCCATCTTGCAGTGTGGGGGCTGGAGAACCGTGGGTTTCCAAGGAGCCTTGCAGAGCCACAGCGGGGAGGGCCCTCTCCTGTGAAGCGGAGGGGGGGCTGCTTCCTGGCCTGGTTCACGCCTCCAGGGAAGAGGGGCCGCCATGAGCTCAGAGCTCACAGCCTGGCTCCCAGGCTGCGTGCACATCCGGAGGGCGTCCTGTGCACTTGTGCAAAGCTGGGGGAAAGTGTTCTCTGGGCCTTGTCTTAAGCACCCCAAGATAGCTGGGGTCAGAGCAGGTATCTGGAAAGGAAAGTGAGTTTTAGGGCCCAGGTATGCTGTCTGGGGGCATTTCCCTGGCCTGGGCCACACAAGGAGTTGACACTTGGACTGGGTACAGCAGACTCGGGAGTGCAAGCGCCCTCGCAGGCCTGGGGGAGGGGCTCTGTGCTCAACCTGGCCAGCAGGTGGGATGGTTGTGACAAACACTTTGTGCAGAGGGGCTAGGGCCCAGGGACTCGCCCTCGGACTATGCACTCTCAGCGGGGTAGCTCTGCAGTGGGCACCAGGGCAGGGGGCCGCAGTCTCCGGCGACCGGTGGAGCCCGCCCCGCAGGCAGGTCTGTGGATGTGGCCCAATGCGCCCCGTCGCTCCAGCCGCGGACGGCAGGGGGCGCGGTGCTAGGACCCTTCTCCTGCCCCGGAGCCGGCCCCGCCGTCACTCGTGGGGCTGGGAGACCCAGGACCTCCGCGCAGGGCTGAAGGGGGCAGGAACGCGGGAACCCCCGTCGCCTCCGCGAGAGGGTGGGGGAGGGGCAGGCCCGGCGGCTGCACAGCTGGGTTCCTCCCGCAGGTGCTCCCGACGCCGGCATGGAGCGAGCGCCTGAGGCCGTGGCCAAGGCTGGCAGCCGGGGCTGCTCCGCCCGCTGCGCCCCAGGTAAGCCGGGCCAGCGCGCGGGAGTAGCGGGGCCTGGGCTGCGGAGAGGGCCGCCCTGACCCGCGTCTCCCTCCAGGGCAAAAGCCCCGCAAGGCCGAGTGAGCTGGAGCCGCCAGCCTGGGGACCTCTTTTAAGATGACCCGCACGGACCCGCCGGACCTGCTGGTGTCGACCGTGTACCAGGACATCAAGGTGGCGGCCCCGGGGCCCGCGTCCAGGCGCCCGCCATGTGAGCGGCCCGTGGCCCGGCCCGCCGCGCCCGCGCCTTTCAACAAGCGCCACTGCCGAAGCTTCGACTTCCTGGAGGCGCTGGACGGGCCGGCCATGGAGGCGCGCTCGGAGCCGCCGCCCGCCGAGCCCGCCGCGCCGCGTGCCCGGCCCCGCGACGGCGAACCCCGGCGCCGCGCCCGCTCCAAGAGCGCGCCCCGCGCGCCCCCGAGCCTGGCGCCCGCGCCCGCCTCGCCACCGGTGCTGCCGCGCCGAGGCCGAGAGGCCCAGCGCGAGAAGCGGGCCGAGGCATCGCCGCGCCGGGAGCCCGCGTACCCAGCGCTGCGCGCGCTCGCCAACGAGCTACACCCCATCAAGCTGCAGCCGCAGCGGGGCGGCACCGGCCGCATCGCGCCCCTGTGCGCCGCCACCGGCCGCTGCGCGCCGCCCGAACCACCCCCGGGGCCCGCCCCCCACGTCCGCTGCCGCCTGGACATCAAGCCGGACGACGCGGTGCTGCAGCACGCCGCCCGGGGCTCGCGGCCCTGCGGGCCCACCGAAGCGGCGTCCTGGGCCCGCGCTGCCCCGCAGCTCCACGGCCTCACGGTGCCTGGGCCCCGCCACGTGGCGCTGTCCCGCACCCCCACCCCTAGCGACTCGTACTGTGCGGACCCCCGAGCGCTGTACTGCGACGGGCCTCTGCCCGGGCCCCGGGACTACGCGGAGCGCCGCACTCTGCACTTCGCCGCCCCGCCGGGCCCCACCCAATTCTTCTACACCGAGGATGCGGAGGGCTACTCAGGCGGCTTTACAGCCAGCCCAGGCCCTCCCTTCGATGGCTACTGTCCCAGGCCCTACCGGTCCGAGGAGCCCCTGGGGCCCAGCCCAAGACGCGGGGGCGGCTATTACGCAGAAGAAGTTCACACCTTCCCGATCCAGGAGCCGCCCTCCCGCTCCTACTACGGGGAGGCACGAGCCTACGGCCTGCCTTACGGGCCCCGCTTTGCCCACTTTGCCCACGAGGAGCCCCGGGCCTACCCCGCCACGCGCCCCTTTTATACAGAGGACTTCGGGCGGTACCGCGAGCGCGACGCCCTGGCTCGGACTTACCCGTACCCGCGCAGCAGCCAGTCCTGGGCTGACTGGGGCCCGCGGCCTTACCGCACCCTGCAGGTGGCGCCTCCCCACGACCCTGGCCCATTGCTCGCCTCCTGGCACGGCGGCACTGGTACCAGCCCTCCCCGACTGGCCAGCGACAGCCGCCACTACTCGCGCTCTTGGGACAACATTCTGGCCCCCGGGCCGCGCCGGGAAGACCTCCTGGGCCGCGGCCGCAGCTACGAGAACCTGCTGGGGCGCGAGGTGCGGGAGCCCAGGGGCGCGTCCCCGGAGGGCCGGCGCCCGCCCGTCGTCGTGAACCTGTCCACCTCGCCCAGGCGCTACGCCGCGCTGTCCCTGTCCGAGACGTCGCTGTCAGAAAAAGGCCGCGGGGGCGAGGGCCTGAGCCGCAACTGGTACGTCACGCCTGAAATCACCATCACCGACAACGACCTGCGCGCCGCTGAGCGCCCGACCGCCAGGGGCTGGGAGCTGCCAGGGGGCCGCCCGCGGCCGCATCCACCCGCGGCCCCCGCCGGCCCCACCTCTGGCCGCCAGCGCAGCCTGGAGCAGCTGGACGAACTCATCACAGACCTGGTCATCGACTCTCGGCCTCCGGCCGGCCAGGCCCCAGAGCCCGTGACCGACGGCCTGGGCCACCACCTTCGCCGCCTGCTGGACTCGCGGCCCGCGGGGCCCGGGGCCCCCTCGCTGGCGCCGCCGCGCTCGCCCCCTGCCTCGGCCGGCAGCGCCGAGGAGCCTGCGGGCGCGGGGGAGGCGGCCGACGCTTCTCCGGAGCCCAGCGCAGACGAGGACGACCTGATGACGTGCTCCAACGCGCGCTGCCGGCGCACCGAGACCATGTTCAACGCCTGCCTCTACTTCAAGTCGTGCCACAGCTGCTACACCTACTACTGCTCGCGCCTGTGCCGCCGCGAGGACTGGGACGCGCACAAGGCGCGCTGCGTGTACGGCCGCGTGGGCAGCGTGTGCCGCCATGTGCTGCAGTTCTGCCGGGACAGCGGCCCGGTGCACCGCGCCTTCTCGCGCATCGCGCGCGTCGGCTTCCTGTCGCGTGGCCGCGGGGTGCTCTTCCTGGGCTTCCCGAGCCCGGGCTCGGCCGACAACTTCCTGCGCTTCGGCCTCGAGGGGCTGCTGCTGTCGCCCACCTACCTGTCGCTGCGTGAGCTTGCCACACATGCGGCGCCCCTGGGCAGCTATGCGCGCGAGCTGGCGGCCGCTGGGCGCCTCTATGAGCCGGCCGAATGCTTCCTGCTCAGCGTGTCGGTGGCCGTGGGGCCCTGCGCCGCTCCCCCAGGGACCCCCGCCCGGCCTGCGCCCGCGCCACGCAGCCCCGGGCCCACGGTGCGCAAGTTCGCCAAGGTGGCACTGGCGGCCGGCAGCCCGGCGCGTCCGCCCCCGGCGCGGGGCCGCGAGCCCGACATGGAAACGCTGATCCTGACGCCGCCGCCTGGCACGGCCGGCCTGGACCAGGAAGGCGAGGCGGGCCGGCGAGCTCGCGAGGTGGCTTTCATCCACATCCAGCGCGAGCTGCGGCTGCGCGGCGTCTTCCTGCGCCACGAGTTCCCGCGCGTCTACGAGCAGCTCTGCGAGTTCGTCGAGGCCAACCGGCGCTTCACGCCCACCACCATCTACCCCACGGACCGGCGCACCGGCCGCCCCTTCATGTGCATGATCATGGCTGCCTCCGAGCCGCGCGCGCTCGACTGGGTGGCCAGCGCCAACCTGCTAGACGACATCATGTGAGCCGCGGGTCCCACCAGGCTCAGCCCGGGCCTCGCCAAGCCCGCTCAGGGCCCCGCCCCCTTCCTCCTAAGCCCCGCCCCCAATTCCTCCAGCCGCCCCTCGACGCTCCGCCTGGTACCCAACTCCAGCTCTGTCCAGGTCCCCTCCAGGCACTCAGTCCCTCTCCCGCACCCCAGGGTGGTCCCTACAGGCCCTTCCTCTGTCCTTCCCCACCCCCAACAACTCCTCTGCCCCCGGATCCCTTCCTTCTCCAGCTCCCCCTCGAGGACCCCCGAGGCCGGTCCTTGCCCTCGGTGCTCCCCGCTGGGAGGCGGGGTGGGCCTGAGGACCGCCCAGCTCTGCCCTCGCACGGAAGGGTCACTACTGCACAGACCCCACCCGCACAGATCGGGTCCCCCGAAGCTCTCGCTGGAGCCTCCTCAACCTGGTTCCTCTGCGTACAGGAGCCGGTGTTAACCAAAGCCTAGTCTCGTCACTTTAAACACGCCCTACCCCGCCTCCTGTGGCCTGGGGTGCCAGCTGCTCAGAGGCCTTTCCTCTCTGGGGGGCACCCTGGTCGGCCTCCGTGCATGTGTCCTGAGCGAGAAAGCCGCGGTGCGTCCCAGAGAGGCGGTGGGCAGGGCGGGCGATGAGCCGTCCAATCCGCACACTGACAGGGCCACCCGCCCTGCCGTCCCCTCCTCCGGCCGACAGGGTTTGGGCCCTGCAGGGACGGTTGGGGAAAGCAGCCGGAGGATACTCGGAGGTCTTCAGGCCAAGGCGCAAGCCACCCAGCCAGAGGGGCGGGAGACGTGGGCAGAGGAAGCAGAGCATATGAGTGGGGGTGCTGGCTAGGCCTGGCTGCGCGACAAGTGGGGTGCGCGCCCACGCCCCACCGGATGGCCCTAGGCGGCTGCCAGGGCGGAGAGGGGACGCAAACAGCCTCGCAGGCCCTAACGTCACTGGGAGGCCGGAAACCCGTGCAGAGGGCGGGCCAGCTGGGAGGGGACTGCGGAGACCTTAGCTGAAGGGGTTTCTACCCGCTGGAGTAGGAAGGGCCAAGGACCAGCCCCCGGCTGGGAGACGGCGGGGAAAGCGTGCCGGCAGCAGGTGCGGGGCGAGCTAGTGCGTCAGCGCGAAAGCCCACCCGAAGGGGTCGGGATCTGTCCCGAGACTCAGGTTCTTTGACTGCACCGAAGTTCCCGCACGCCCGCTCTGGCCGCACCCTGGGGCCCGGAGGTGCGCCCAGGCCCGCGCCCGGGGCTCCCTGGAGGGGCGAGTGACGGGGGGAGGCCAGGCGCTGCCAAAGGCCCTCCCCGGGTCCCCAGCCCTCCTCCAGAGCCGAGACGGGGCGCCAAGTGAGAGAAGTCGTGAACCCCGCCTCTGCCCCCTGCTCTCGCCCCCGACACGCCTGCGCACCTCCCCAGGGCCGTGCGTCCGCATCGGCCCCGTGTCCCGCTTGTCCCACCCGCCTTCGTGGCCCTCCAAGTCTGGCCGCCGCGCCCCCCCGCCCCGGGGCCTCCGCATTCGGTCCCACGCCTAAAGGCCAGCCTGGAAAGCCCCTGGACAGGAATATTTCCAGTGGGCGAGCGCTTCCGAACCAAGTAAAATAGAACTTGAATGTAGCTGCTGCCTTCTTGTTGTGGGGGAGCGGGGTGGGAAGGAGGGTTTCGGACTGCGGAGGAGAGGGGGACCTCCAAGCGGGGATGGGAGGGGGTCTTCGGACGGCGGGGGGGAGGGGGCGGGGAAGGGGGCGGAGGAGGGTGCCTTCGGACTGAGCGTAGGGGAGGAGGTCGGAGCCCGCGCGTGTCGATGGGCCCCATGGGCCACCTAACTGCCCCGCTCCCAAGGTGCCTGCCACCCGACCCCGAAGAGAGGTACTTTTCTGTCGGCTGGATTTAACCATCACCTATTTCCCCGGTCCACCTTCCCTTTAAGTGAGGTTGGTGTGTCCAGGGCTGCAAGGAACCGGGCTGCGATTGGCCAGTCCGTGCCTCGGGCGGCGGCACTATTGGCTGGAGCTCCGGGCCTCGGGCAGCACGTCCCCGCGGGATTGGCCGCGGCTCTCCCGAGCCGCCTCCCGCGCTGTCCCAGCAGCCCCGGTCGGGCGAGGGAAGGGGCCGCCGGGACCGCGGGGCCCGGCGCGCTCTGAGGAACATGGCGGTGGCGAGCCTCGCTCAGATTCCTGATGTAGACATCGACTCCGATGGCGTCTTCAAGTACGTGCTGATTCGGGTCCACTCGGCGCTGCCCTCCGGTACCCCGGCTGCGGAAAGCAAGGAGATCGTGCGTGGCTACAAGTGGGCCGAGTACCACGGTGAGGGCGGGGCCTGCCTGCCAGGGGGCGGGGCGAGGAGGGTCTGCCAGCCAGGAGGCGGGGCCTGCCAGCCAGGGGGCGGGGCCGCGGGCACAGCGGCCTTGTCGTGTGCCCGAGCGCGCCCAGAAGTCCGGTCCAGCTGGCCTAGAGAAGTCGAGGTCCTGGTGGGAGGGTCCTGCCCACGCCCGATCTCTCTCCCAGTCCCTGCGCCGGCACAGCGTGTCCTTCTCCCTTTCATCCCTGCCCCAGCCTGGGGGCTTCGTCTCCACTGGGGAAGGGGCTGCGCTGAGCAGACGGATGGGAGTCCCTCGGCCTCCTAGGGGGCGGCCAGGGCACGTCCTGAGGCCGCCCTCCCCACCCCAGCGGACATCTACGACAAAGTGTCGGGCGAGATACAGAAGCAGGGCTATGACTGTGAGTGCCTGGGCGGCGGGCGCATCTCCCACCAGAGCCAGGACAAGAAGATCCACGTGTACGGATACTCCATGGTGAGCCTGCAGCCTCTGCCAGGCCTTGCCGGAGGTGCCAGTCCAGAGTCTGGGCAGCCGAACCTTCCCTCAAGGGCCTGATGGTGTCCCACATACCATGTGCCACCAGGGGTAGGAAGCACATGCCAGACCCGGGGGCAAGGGGGAGGCCCCCAGACACTGCAGCCAAGTCCTCTGCCCACCCCAGGGGCCTGGCCAGGTTCTCCTGTCCTCAGGGGGGTTCAGAGTCCCCGCTCTATCTTCACAAAAGCCATCAGCAGATACACACTGGCCCTCACACAGCCCCCACCTTTGGTCTACTCACCTGTGCAGGCCACCTCTCCCCGGTAGAGCTCCCCAGGGTGATCGGGGTAGTGGGTTTGGCTCCACCCTGGGGCACCCAGGCTGTGCCTGTCCCCTCCCACACCTGCTCCTGGTGTCACTGCTGACCGTTGATGCCCAGTGCCAGGGCAGAGGTCGAAGGACCGGGCGATGCTAGTGACCATCTTCTCTCTCCAGGGCTACGGCCGTGCCCAGCACTCCATCTCGACTGAAAAGATCAAGGCCAAGTACCCTGACTATGAGGTCACCTGGGCTGATGATGGCTACTGAGGCCCCCCTGCCTGAGGCTGCCACCTCCAGTAGCCAAGTCGGAACTCTGCCCTTGCCAGGTCCTTCCTGAGGGGCTGGCCTTGCCCTTTCCTTCTGCACCCCCTGGTGACGTGCCACCCTGCCAGGCCTCCGAGACAGACCAGCCTGGCCCATGGGAATTAAAAGCATTGCTGTGCCTGCCAGTTTTCAGATTCTGTGTCTTGCCTTCCCTGCCCTGGGTCCCCACCTGGGCAGGGCTGTCCCGCACCCTGGCTGAAGCAGGGGGGTGGGAGAGCGCAGGAGCAGCAGGGCCCCGCCCAGCTCCACCCCGGAGGCCCCCAGGAATGGCAGTGCACACTCAGCCCTTTGGGGTCTGATAAAGGGGTCACTGCCCCATTTATGGCCTGATGGCCCCTGAGCTCGGCTGCTATCCTCAGGGACATCTGGGTGGAGGCCCAACAAGCCCTTGCGCAAGGAATCAGTGCCTGGCCCCTTGGGCTGGCCAAGGCCTGGGGCGCCCACGAGTGCCCCCTTCCTGGAGCCCACCCCAGGGCTCCCTGCAGAGAGGGGCACCAGTGACCACTGTCCAGGCTGGGCTGTGGGTAGGATGTGAGCTCGGCCCCTCCCCTGGGGAGCCCCTCACACAGTGACACTTGGTGGACAGTGATGGTGGGGTGGGGCACTGCAGGACAGCTGGGGGCTGAGCCACGTTTGTCCCCATGGGTGTCCGTCACCGGCAGTTGTGCGGGCCTTTTCAGCCCGCTGCGTCCTCCAGGTGGCCACTCCTGGCAGGTGCTGTTGTGACCTTGTCTACAGACCAGGAAACTAGGGCTTGGGTGAGACAAGCTCCTGAGGGCAAGTGGCAAGACACTAGCAGAGTCTGGCTCCAAATGCCACACTGCTTGCTGCCTTGAAGTGCCCAACCCCAACTCTAGGTTGGTTCTGTGAAGACGAAGTTTCTGGGTTCACGGGGACCCTGTGTCTGGCACCACTCCGCACCTGGCTGCTCAGGACAGGTGGAGGGTGATCCCGTGAGGGCATGATATCCCCAGCCTGCGTGACAGGCAGGGCAGGCTCGCGGCCCCCACTGGACTGCTGCTTGCTGCTGCTGGGATGGGTTGAGTCTCCACCTCCTTGGCCAGCACCGGGCTGGGGCCAGGAGCACAGTGAGAGAAGCCCTGGTGGCGCTGCCACCCCTACGCCACCACGGAGAGTCCTTTCCAGGGGTGCCTGGGCCCCTCTCTGTTCCAGTGGGAGCCTCCACCGGGCAGGGCATGGCAGGTGGGCGTGACGGCTGGGGTCTGACCTTCAGTCTGCAGGAACCAGGCAGGTGGGAGCCGACCCTGGGCCAGGGGCCCCCTCCTGGGGTGCGTTTACAGCCAGACGCGCAGCACCGTCAGCACTGGGTGGGGCTGGCCAAGGGGCCGCAGCTTCGGAAGGGGCTGAAACCCTCCGGTTAAAGCAGAGTCAGCCTGTGGGGCCACCGCAGGCTAATAACTGGACAAAGACCCCAGCAGGCTGCCCAGCCTTGCAACCCCTGGCCTCGCTCCCTCAGGCCTGACCATGAGTCTGCCCGGCCACCTCCTGCCCAGCCTGGTCCTGCTTGTGGGTGAGTTGTCTGGTCCCGCCGCTGTGGCAGGGTGGGGGCTCTGGGTTCTGAGCCTGCTGTCTGGGTGGTGTTGATAGACACTGGGGCAGGAGGGGTGCAAGGCACTGCCCTGAGAGACCTGTGAAGGGGGTATGGGGGTACCCAGGACGAGCCATGTGGTCCTGGGGATGGCCTAGCTAGGGAGGGGGCAAGAATTCTCTCCCTGGCCCAAGACGAGGGGCCCACCTTCCCAGCGGCTGCCTGCCACCCTTGGACTGGGTGGAGTGGCGGAAGCCTGGGCCCCCACCTCGACGCATCCTTTTGGGGCACTGTCCTGGCAGCCCCTCCAGCTCCTTGCTGGCACCGTGGGCTCCCGTTCCCTTCCCCAGGGCTGCCCACATCCTTCCCCCCATCCTGACATGCAGCCTCTAGGGGGGAACCTGGGGATGCACCTGCTCTGTCCTGACACGGAGCCAGGACGGCTGCTCTCTGTGGGTCCCAAGGCCCTCCCTGTCCTATCTCCTGGGCCTGAGTCCCAAAGTAGGGTGCCAAGTGTCCTGGGTTGGACATGGAACTTCGAGGGCTAAAACTGGACAGTCCAGGGCCAAGGGGGATGGGTGGTCACCCGCCTCCAGGCCACCCGGCTGTCGCTGTGCCAGCAGCAGGGTTCCCAGGCTGGGCCTGGGTCCCCAACCACTGCAGGAGCCCCAGCGAGGCCGAGTGCAACTTCGTGTGTGACTGCAGCGACTGCTCGGACGAGACCCAGTGCGGTGAGCGGGGGCCAGACAGGCGCGGGCAGGACCAGCGCTCAGGGCGGCACCCCTGACCACCCACTCTCCCAGGTCACCACGGGGCCTCACCCGCCCTGGGCACACCCTTCACCTGTGACTTTGAGCACGACCCCTGTGGCTGGCGGGACATCAGCACCTCAGGCTACAGCTGGCTCCGAGACCGCGCAGGGGCCGCCTTGGAGGGTCCTGGGCCTCGCTCAGACCACACGCTGGGCACTGACCTGGGTGAGGCTGGGGCCAGTCTCCACGTGCACCCTGTCCCGCCACCCCCAGCTTCCCACCCCATGTCCTGACCTCTCACCCTGGGCCAGGCTGGTATTTGGCTGTCGGGACGCACCAAGGGAAGGAGGCATCCACCGCGGTCCTGCGCTCCCCTGTCCTGCGCGAGGCGGCCCCCACCTGTGAGCTGAGGCTGTGGTACCACTCGTCCTCTGGAGGTGTGGCCGGGCCCCCCAGGACCCACGGGTGGGGTGCCCAGGGGGAGGGCGTGGGAGGGCGTGGCAGGGAGGGGCGGGGCTGCAGCTGCCCAGGGCCCCGCATGGCACAGATGCGGCTGAGCTGCGGCTGCAGCTGACTCACGGCGCGGAGACGCTGACCCTGTGGCGGAGCTCAGGACCCTGGGGCCCTGGCTGGCAGGAGCTGGCGGTGACCACCGGCCGCATCCAAGGGGACTTCCGAGTGAGCTGGGGGTCTGGGTGGGGTAGGGAGGGGAGTAGGGGGCTGGGCCCCAACACGGGTCCTGAGGACCCCTGCTCTCTTCAGGTGACCTTCTCCGCCACCCGGAATGCCACCCACAGGGGCGCTGTGGCCTTGGATGACCTGGAGTTCTGGGGCTGTGGGCTGCCCAGTAAGGCCTCATGCCACCGACCCACCCAGGAGGGCTATGGGCTCATGGGGCCCGCCTGCCACCCTTGCCCAGACCCGCTTGGGCCTCGTCCCCAGTGCCAGGGGTCTTGGGCCAGGCTGAAAGGCTAACCCTCCCGCACTCTAGCGCCCCAGGCCAGCTGCCCCCTGGGGCACCACCACTGCCAGAATAAGGCCTGCATAGAGTCCCACGAGCTGTGTGACGGAGAGGACAACTGTGGGGACCTGTCTGACGAGGACCCACTCACCTGCGGTGAGACAGGGAGACCTGGTCTCTCGGCAAGGGCTCGTCCCATAGGGTGTACTGTACGTGGTCCTTCTGGGGTGTGGCAGCCAGTGTCCTCCTGAGCTGGGCCATCAGCTGCGGAGGCCCTGCTGGGTGGCCTGAACAGCCTCGCCTCCCACCCTAGGCCACCACATGGCCACTGACTTTGAGACAGGCCTGGGCCCGTGGAACCACTCGGAGGGCTGGGCCAGGAACCACAGCGCGGGCAGTCCCGAGCACCCTGCTTGGCCGCAACGAGACCACAGCCGGAACAGTGCAAAGGGTGAGGCCACGGAGGACCCGGCCCTGCCCCTGCACCTGGCCGCTGCCCGTCGGCCCTGGCCCACGCCTGCCCTCTCCCCAGGTGCCTTTCTGGTCTCCCTGGCTGAGCCTGGCAACCCCGCTGTCCTCTTCAGCCCCAAGTTCCAGGCCTCCGGCCCCGACAACTGCTCGGTGAGATAGGTGGGGCGCTCCAGGTCTCCCATCCTGGCTGCCCGGTTCGTGGCCCCCTGACCAGCAACTGTCCCCCCCAGCTGGTCTTCTACCGTTTCCTGCATGGGTCTGAGGCCAGCTGCCTCCAGCTGTTCCTGCAGACGCTCCAGCCCGGCGTCCCCCCAGCCACTGTCCTGCTGCGGAGACACTGCGGGGAGCTGGGGGCTGCCTGGATCCGAGACCGGGTTGACATCCAGAGCGCCCACCCCTTCCAGGTGAGGCTGACCGGGCGTACTGAGGACAGGAGGAGGGTGGGGTCCAGGGAGCCCACAAAACACCAGCTGTGTGTGGACGGAAGAGGGTTTGGGGCAGCAGGCCCCCCGGGGGACAGATGGGTGCTGGGGTACCCCCTGAACCCCCTCTGCCCTCAGATCCTCCTGACTGGGCAGACAGGCCCAGGAGGCGTCATGGCCCTGGACGACCTCATCCTGACTGACGGCTGCAAACCCGTCCCGGGTGAGCCTGCCTGAGCCCCTGGCCTGCTCTGCCCACAAAGCTCTGTCGCTGCGCCCGCTGACCCGGTTCTGCCCTGCAGAGCCAGCCGCCCCGCAGGTGCTGCCTCCCGCACCCCAGGCCCCAGCCCCTGAGACCCCACCATCCAGCCTGCGGCCCCAGAATTTCTGCGATCCAGGGCATCTCTCCTGTGGGGACCTGTGCGTGCCCCCGGAGCAGCTGTGTGACTTCCAGCAGCAGTGCGCGGGGGCCGAGGACGAGCAGGACTGCGGTAAGGGCCAGTGCGGCCGGGAGGGCGGGGTGCTGGGGCGGGCTGGGGTCCTGGCCGCTGAGCGCCAGCTGCTGTTCCAGGAACCACGGACTTCGAGTCCCCCACAGCTGGGGGCTGGGAGGATGCCAGTGTGGGGCCGCTGCAGTGGCAGCTCTCTGCCCAAGAGGCTGCTGTAGGTGAGTCAGCCAGCACCCACCGGCCGCGGCATACCTGGAGGGAGGGATCTGGGCTCTGCCACTTCACTAGGGAGACCTCTGGGTCAGAGCCCTGAGGGACAGAGGTTGCCCTGGCAGGAATCAGGGCTCTGAGCGCCCGCACCACCCCTAGGACGCTTCCTGTCTCTGCAGAGGGCCTGGGGGCAGCTGAGGCCTGAGGCCCGGGCCCTCAGCCCTGCCCTGGGCCCCTCTGGTCCCGGCTGCGAACTCCACCTGGCCTACTACTTCCAGAGCCAGCCCCGAGGTACGGCCACCCC